GATATTCTAGTTGTCCAAAACCTCAAACAACAGTTGGAGTCTCATTTTCTCAAACTGTCCACACGATTGCACTTTTCCTAAAAAAGAAGTAACTTTCACAAATTGCTCAAAAGGAGGGACCTCTAGTTTTCTTGGCAGCTAGTTTGTTTTTGGAGGCCTACAAGAGGTAAGTGACCTCTAACCCTTGCTTTTTTTTCACATATGCAACATCATGTATTATTGGTTCTGTTGAGAAGCCTATGCAATGTCATGTAGGATTGGTTTGTTTAGTTATGCTGTCAAAAGAGGGTGAAAGGCCAATATCATGTGTTGTTTGCTATTAAAATAACATTAGGGTTGTATATGTTTTTATGACTTTTGTAAAAGTAAAACCTGTTGGTTTCTAGCATTGTTATGTTAAAATGGTTAGCAAACTGTCTTGAAAAAATTGTTGGCACTAAGAGGTTTAGCTTAGTTGCAATCTTAACTTTATTATGGTAGAGACTTGACTTTGTTCATAGTTCTGGTTTAGTATAGCATAGTTTGAGTCTTACTTTAAGACTGTTGCTTGGTTTCTGTGGTTCCTGTTACATCCAGAATGTAGCATTTAAAGGGCTTACTGTTATTAAGATCTAGGACTGTCTTTTAGACTTGGATGAGGTATTAGCTGTCCAGAACATGTTTCTCATTACCCAAAACCTGTGCAGAACCAATAATTTGCACATGAAGAAGTGAGGCTCATTCTGTTTGATTTTGAACTCTGTTACATATGGGAACTATCATTTTGGATTGGTAATAGTTTGGATACCAACAGCAGTGTGCATTGGTGTTTGCCTTGAGGTTGTTAAGTTTGCATCATGTTGCAAATATGATTGATGTATTTGTTAACAAGAGAAAACACTCTATGTTTGTTTGGCTTTCATCTTATTTTCCAAACCTATTGTGAGAGCTATGATGGGAATTCATCATTGACATTTTGAAACACCACAAGCATACTGTCATTGCCTTGCTTTAGAGTTTTATAGTTGTTGGTGCCAGCAGTTTAGTCAATCACCATTTATGAATGTCTTGGATTCATGACTTGTTAGAACTATTGTTGATTCATGACTTATAAGGCACAATCTTGTTGTTTTTCATTGTATTTTATCATTTAGCATCTCTGCTGTCCAACCTTCATAAAACTGCTTGCATGTGATTTATGTTCTTAAACCAGTTGTACTCACTGTCTGCCATTTGATAGGAGTTTAAACTGAATTCTTCATCAGAGCTTCCATTGTTTTTCTTTATTCCTTTTCAAACACATTTAACTCATTGTTTAAGGTTACAGTCAATGGATTTAGTAAAGAGATACTAAAATCTGTGGCTGCTATCTGTTTGAGACAGTTAGACTCATGAGATTTAGTTGGTATTGACTATTTGGAATCTTGATGAGGTTGGAGGATGAGGACTCAGTAGGAGTTTTTTTGTCCTGTGTAAGTTCATGCTATCACCATAGGTTAGTTTCTATTCAGGCTGAATCTTGATTTGGAATTTCAAGTAGTTAGTTGCTACCACAACCAGTTACAGCAGGTCTTGGTGAATGTGATGATCAACATGGTCTTATATGCAACGTGGTTGTTGGGAGTTCATCATTATTGTGGTTTGTATGGATCCTGGACTGTCTTGGGATTGAGTTAGAACTTTAGAGAATTGTTGTGTTTTCGAGCTCACTGTCATGATAATAGTGTTGTCTTGGATTTTGCTTAGGCATTAAATCTCAAATTACCATTTAACTTCACCCATTTGCCAACTGGCAGCCACACTGGATTTAGTAGGGAATTGATTTCTCCCTTTGAATTTAATCTTTGAGTTTTGCTTGAGCAGACTGGTATGAATCATGAACTCACCTAGATTGGTCATTATGTCTTGGTTTAAATTTAAGTCATGTTCATAATCAACAACTCACATGCCTTTATTTTGCTCTGATGTTTTGTGGACTATTTTTCTTGTTAGAACTTCTTCCATAGCATAATCAGAATCTGTTCAAACCATTTTCTACCTTTATTTGCATCTGGTTTGATCCATGCTTTTCAAAATGCATTTCAAAATTCATCATGGCATGTGCATTCAAATTTCTTTGTATGTGCATTATTTGAGAAAACCAATTGCACTAATGTGTTCCTCATAAAAAATCAAGCAAGTTAGACTCAAATTTTATCAACTTTGGTGGAGAATTGAAAGAGTTACGATCAAAACGTATTTTGAGTTTCCACTTGCATTTACCCAAGAGTTGCCCAGTTTTTTCACCTTATTTCAGTACATATTTATTTGGGGTGGCAAAATACATAGATGTATCGCCACCCCAGTGGTTAAAAGCAATGCCTTAAGTCACTTACCATGCGCCTTGTCCTCTGTTTGAGCCTCAGCGAGACCACTTTTTATTTAATTTTGTGATTTCTCAAGATTTAGTATTTTTTTCTTCTCTTCCCATCACTTTACACGCGCGCACAGTGGTTGATTTGGTAATATTTTAAGTTTGTAAACTAAGGGTTGTGGGTTCAACACCTTCCACGAGCATTCTTTTTTTACCACTTGTTTTTTTATGTTTTCTTCACAAATTTCAAAACCTCATAACATTTTCATGTTTTAACATTTTTGATCCATTTTTTTTTGCAAGATGCTCTTAATATTTTCTAGTTTCACTTAATGAGAAAATATTTCAAAGATTTTCATGTTTGTGATACTTTTTTCCACTTGAAAGTTGCTTATCCTTAAGGTTGTTTACCTTGCTTCTTGTTGAAATTTCTCTTAAGCCATGCTTGAATTATCTTGTAAGATTTGTTTGTGATTGAATCCCTTGTGGTCGTAACTATATACTTTACTCATCTGTGCTTGCCTATCGTAATACGCTTGCATGTTTTTGCTTTATTCATCTTTGCTTGCCTATCGTAATACACTTGCATGCCTTGGCTGTAACCATGTTTCTTGTATTTATCCTGTTTGATGTTTTATGCTTTGTTAAGTCTAGTTTCCCCAAGTGATGAAACTCTTTAGTTCTCATCCGAGTTGCCTCTTTTCTCCTTCCAAAGGAAAGTCTCTCTGTTGACCGTTGGGTCATAGATAGCTCATCACTCTCCCTCGACTTTGTCAAGTCATCTACTCACTTAGTTAAGTTAGAACATGTCCTTAAACTTTGCTTAAGTCTACAAAGCCACCCCTTGTTAGGAGTGCTCTTTCAATTAGAACTTAGGATAGAGTTTGTTAACTCTATGTAAGAATCATTGTCATGATTACTTACTTCCATTTCTTGAGCGTTTAACTTAGATCTAGAGAGTTTTCTTAAACTCTATACAAGCATTTGTAATGTTTGTTCCCTTTTTGAACCTTGATCATAATCAAGTGTTCTTCAAACCTAGTGAGGTGAACTACGATTGCTCTAATTCTATCCTAGTTAGGATACGTAGGCAGAAGATGCGATATCTTTGCAAGCAAACTTAGTGTATATATCTTTAGGTCTTAACCTATACCTATCCCAATCCATAGCAAACTTTTAGCAAACTTAGCATACAACAAACAAAAGGTTCCTGTAGAGTACTACAGATGTTTAGGATATGAAATACCTACCCTAGGCATAACCAACCCCCGATCCCCGAATCTCTTAGCGTTGTTGTTACATCGCGCAAAAAGTTTTTTTCTCTCTTTAGACCTTTCCTTTGGATAAATTAAAGTCTGGTTGTGAATTCAAAGAATTAAAGATTCAAGTTAATTCAATAGCTTGGTATCACGATTCTCACCGCAACACACACCAAATCCAAGTTTAAGGGCCTCCATACGAATCCATTCAAGCATTTTATCACGAGATTCAAACTCTTGCTTGTTTTTAAAGTCGTTGCCAACATCTATCACCTTCACAACAACACCTTGAACATTCGAAAAAACAACCACACCTTGGACGTTCGAAGAAACAACTTGTTTTGGGAAAACATCGGGGGTGCACCATATCTATTGAAAACAATAACAAAACATTAGTTCAACTACTGCTGCAGAATTACTTCAAAAAATGAATACAAACAACTTCCAAAAATGCATCTCCGAACAAGTTCATACACGTTCTAGAGATACATTTTCGGACACAATGTAAGTTTTTTCAAAAAAAAATGATGATTAATGTGAGCAATGCAGAGGAAAAAGAATAATCTTTACATGAAATTCTATCTTCTTTTCCTCCTTGTGATATGTTAAACCAAAAGGATGGAGATTTGAAGTGAAAAATGGATCGAGAATGAAGAGTTTTTAAGGTGAAGAGTTTGGTGGAAAACTTTGTATTTCAACAATGGAGAAGTGATCATTCAGTTGAGTCTTATATTAGATATCTTTGGAGATGCATCTCCGAAAATATCTGACATGCAAAGGTGACAGATAACTTCAAAATGCCGCCCATAATTTTTGAGATGCATCTCTGAAATATCTACTGAACTGAATAATTAAAATGATTTTCCTAAAATATTCCGAAGACGCATCTCTAGAATAAATTAAACCAAAAGAAAGGGCGTAGTTCATAAATGTCTTTTTTAAATGTGTGTTGGATGTGTTCAAAAATATATCTTCAAAATCAGGAGGCATATGTGAAAATTCACATGATGCATTAGAAATATACAAGTTGCAATAAAAAATTCTAAAAAAAAAGTGAATTCGATGAATTCATTCCGACTACATAATTATTATTAAATTAAAATATATATGTACATTTTAATTTTATGTTATATTTTCTTCAAAATAAATAATAAATAGCACTAAAAAAAACTAATATTAGGAGGAGGAAAAACCATTGAATTGTAACCATCATTACATTGTACCCGGACAATTCCTATGGAGAAATTCAATCAAAGTTGAATATGGAAAAAAGGAAAAAAATAATATTTCAAGCGTTAGATTCATTCTTCAGCATCATCACTCAACCCACTCATATTTAATCACACACATAAACCTAACCTGTGTACAATTTCTGTATAGAATTGAGAAAAAAATTGGTTATTGATATTATGGCTATTGCACTGAAATCATCTTTCTTCTTGCAATTGAAGAAACCTGAAACAGGTTTCAATAATCTCAGTTTTTCCTCCAACAATGTTTCGATAATCTCAGCTAAAAGGTACACTTCGGTTTCTGCTATTGCTAACAGGACTATCGAAGCAGTTAGCATCTCTGAAACATTCAACAGCCTCAAGAAAGAAGGAAAAGTAAGTGTTTATTTATTATTTATTGTTTGCATGTTTATAATGGATTAGTAACTATTGTATGAGTAAGAAGCACCAACATAAACATCAAAAACATATTATAGTGTCGTGTATCAGACACCAGACACATAATAATACGTCGATGTTCCAGAGATTAATAATGTGTTGAAATGATTATTTTATAAGAAGCATATTTGTGTGAAGGTGGCGTTAATTCCATACATCACAGCTGGTGATCCCGATCTTTCAACCACAGCAGAAGCATTGAAAGTTCTTGATTCATGTGGATCTGACATTATTGAACTCGGTGTTCCATACTCTGATCCTTTAGCAGATGGTCCTGTTATCCAGGTTTGTTTGTCTGTTTTATTCTTTCTTCCTGTAATTAAAAACTCGAAAATCCATTACTGATGTGTCTTTCTGAGTTCAGGCTGCTTCTACAAGATCTTTAGCAAGAGGAACTGATTTTCATGCGATTATTTCTATGTTGAAGGAGGTACTGCACCTTGTTTGGCAGGATATTATTTTTCGCGTGCATTGTTCTCTTGTTAAAATCAAACTAATTTTTTGTAACATTATGAACGGTTGATTTTTCAGGTTGTTCCAGAATTATCTACTCCAATTGCGTTGTTTACTTATTACAATCCAATTCTGAAACGCGGTACTGAGAGATTTATGTCCATCCTAAAAGACACTGGTGTTCATGGTAAGAGTCAGGGCCGTCTTTGAGGACGTGTTTTACTTAAGTGATAATGTTATTTTGTTTTTGATATGCATGCAGGGCTTGTAGTCCCTGATGTTCCTCTGGAGGAGACAGAAACTTTAAGGAAAGAAGCTAAGAAGAATGGAATCGAACTGGTTTGCTAGCTACCTTTGAAATTTTCTTCTATTTTGTTTCTAGATTTTGAAAATGATCGTTATGATTTTGGTACATTTGATTCTTTGATGTCATGAAGGTACTTCTCACAACACCTACCACTCCGACAAACAGAATGAAAGCCATTGTTGATGGTGCAGAAGGATTTGTCTATCTTGTAAATGCTTCTGTCAATTATGTTAAATTCAGTTTTTTTCTATATGTTTTGTTCAAGTCCTCAGTCAAAACTAAACGTAAGTTGCATATAACGATTTTGTTTATTTGACTTATATGTAGGTGAGTTCTTTGGGGGTCACCGGAACTCGAGCATCAATTAGTAGCAAAGTTCAGAGTCTTCTGAAGGAAATTAAAGAGGTTTGTCTCTTTACAGTCCATTCACAAAAGCAATTTAGATTTAATTTTGTTATGAGTTACTGCATTCATATATTGATTATATATTTCAAAAATATTCATCTAACGGGGACTCTGAATCTCCTGACAATAGATTGCAGTATCTAAATTTCATTCAAAAATTTTAATACTTTACTGCAGGCAACACCTAAGCCTGTGGCAGTTGGTTTTGGGATATCAACAGCGGAGCAAGTGAAGCAGGTAATACTTTTTTATTAATCAAATATTAGTTGTCAGAAATTGAACTCTAGATGTTATTGTCAAATTTAGACAATTGTTGATGCATTAGAGATATTTAATTAAGTGATATTTTGATGGAATAATTTGTTTCAGGTAGCGGGATGGGGTGCTGATGGTGTGATTGTTGGAAGTGCTATGGTGAAGTTGCTTGGTGAGGCCAAAACTCCTCAAGAGGGATTGAAGGAATTGGAAATTTTCACCCTCTCTTTAAGATCAGCACTTGATTGAAATTGTGTGTGGAAGATCAAAAACTTCTACTAGTTGTTGTCTTCATAGATAATAGATTGAATAGAGATTGTTTTGGGGTCAAGTTTTGGTAGATTTTCAATTATGATAGGATTTTTTGATAGTGAAATAAATGTTGTAGGTTAGATTTACCACCTTTCTCTGATGAGCTGTGCCAATTGGTTCCAATTTTCATTTCATACACTTAATAGTATTGTTGCCTGCTCTTTTATGGCTGTCTGATACCCTCTCCATCCTAAGTTATAAGTAGTTTTGCGCAATTTATATGAACTAAAAAAACGTAATTAATGTTTTATAAAAAAGAGAAATTATATATGATTTTACACTATTGTCTTTCATTTATTATAGATAAAAGAAAAATTTAAAGAATTGGAAGAAGAAAAAGTAATTGATGATAGATGATATATTAAAAAAAAGTCATTAATAATATATTTGAAAATATAAAGTAACTTATAATTTGATACAAATTTTTTATTTTTAAATTGACTTATAATGTGGGACGGTAGTATCGTGAAGGAAGTTAAGTTTGATTTTTTAGATTAAAATAAAAAGAAAATAGTACAAAAGCATCTTATATTAAAATGCTTATAATTTTTGGAGATCTATCTTCCGACGCACCTTAATGCACATATTTTATTTGTTTTTGAATAACGTCTCAATTTTATGAATATAATTATTTCAAAAATATATATCTGAAAACAGCATTGTAATTTTTGGCACTTGCATCTTTTTTTTAAAACTATTTTATTTAAAATATATGAATTCTTTTAGGCTTTGTTTGGATTGATGGAATCAGATGGAGCGGAGCGGAATGAGATCAACTGAAATGATCACTACAAGAAAACCTGCATTTTGCTAAATGATTAAGTGACGTGAGAAAAAACAGAGGTTGCGACGTGTAAACCACGTCACTACATTATTTAATTAATAACCATCTCAAATTGAAAACTTGTAACGTTGAGTGCTGTTTTTTTTTGGAGGAAAAATTTGAATTATTCAGAATTAAGTTGTGGTGTGGTAACCACATGGGAAACAAAAATTCAAAAATATCTTTGTTTTTATGATGTGGAAAACAAGTCAGAAAATACCCCATGATACCCACGTCGCAAATGGGAAGAAATTAATGTTGGTCTGCATTTACTTTTACAGTTGGGACACATTAAAAGTTGATTTGACTTTTCCAAGTCTTCCCACGTGATACCCACGTTGCAAATGAGAAGAAATTAATGTGTCATTTAATTTTTTACTGTTGGGTGTCATTTAATTTTTTAACGTTAAAAATAAAATGCTAGGAAAGTTCCGACGTGTTTATCACGTGGCTACTTTCCCAAGTGATTTTCACGTCGCAAATGAGATGCATTAGTCATTATTCCGACGTGGTATTCACGTGGGTACTTTCTCACGTGTTTACCACGTCACAAAATACAGTATATAATTCCAAATCTCAAAACCCTTCACGCATTTCTTCTTTTCCTTCCTTCTTCCTTCTTCCTTCTTCTTTCTCCATTCTTCCTTGCTTGCGTTCTCTCTGCTTCCTCTCCTCCTTCACTGCATTTCACAGACATTTTCGTAGGTATGGTTAATGTTTTACCTTCTTACTTTTTATTTTTGTTTTACATTTTATTTTAATTTTTTCTCATTATTAATTTTTTTCCCAGAAGATCAAGATTTGGAAGATTAAGAGGATCTCATCAAGTCTAAAAGTTTAAGCTTTATTTTTGCTCCATTGAGGTATTTATGTAATTTAAATTTTTTATTTTTTAAATTTATAGGAATAATATTGTATATGAAATGTTTGGTTGTTGTTGTATAAAAACAGAATTTATTGATTATATATGAAAAACAGAATATATATTATATTTTAAATGTGAATAATATTGATTATATATGAATAATATTGTATATGAAATGTTTGGTTGTTGTTGTTGTATTTAAATGTGTTATTTTTATTAAAAACTGAATATAATATTATATTTTTAGTAAACATAATTGTAAAAAATAATTTTTAGAAAAAACAGATTTTTAAAAATAATGAGTATATATATTATATTTTAAATGTGTTATTTATAGTAAACAAATTACATATTATATTTTAGAATATTATATTTTAAAATATGTATTATATTTTAGTAAACAGAATATATATTATATTTTAGAAAAAACAGAATTCTTAAAAATATTTTTAGTAAATAAAATTGTAAATAAAAAAAATTAAAAAGTATTTTTTTAAAAACATAAAGTTATGTAGATTAGAAAAATAAATTCTAAATATTTTTAGAAAAAGTATTTAGTAAATAGAAGTATTTTTATTAAAAAATATTTTATAGAAAAAGTTACTTGTAAAAATATGTTATGTAGATTTTTTAAAAACACAATTTATAAAAGAAATTTATTTTAAAAAATATAATTTAAAACAAAAATAATTCGTAAAATGTATAATATTAAAAAAAATTGAAAAAATATTAATTCGCAAATAATTAATATTAAATTTATTTTTATCAGGTTAAAGTGTATAATTAGATTTTATATTTTTATATTAAGAAAATATTTTTAAATAATGTTACAAAATTAGGTTGTTGTATAATATGAAGTAATATTGAAGTAATATTTTTATTTATATTAGGTTAAAACAATGTGAAAAGAATTATATTATTTTGCATATATTAAAATCACATATTTAATTAAAATGATATATAATGATAGTACAAATGTGCAGTATGGAATATTTTCGTTACTATCATAGTTGGATGTACAATAGAACGTTATCAGGCAGACGTGGATTTACACCAAATTTTGAGGAAGGAGTTAAAGGGTTTATCACGTGGGCATTTTTGCACAAGAATGTTGCATGTCGACGTGAAGGAGGAGTAAGATGTTCTTGTCTTAAATGTAAATGTAAACCTAAAATTAGTGACCTAAAGGAAGTAGAACGTCATTTGAAGAGGAAGAGTTTCATTAAAAATTATTGGGTTTGGACATATAATGGAGAACAACTGCCGAGTAACGTACATGCAGAGACAACTAATACACACGCTTCAAGCAGTCGATCACATATGGAATTTGAGGAACAATTTAATTTGATCAATGATATGGTTGACAATGCATTTGGAGTAAATGTGACATATGATGAACCTCAAATTTTGATGGGGAAGAGTTGCCAAATGAGGAAGCACAAAAATTTTACCAATTATTGAAAGAAATGAATGCAATGTTGTTTAAGGGGTCGGCAGATTCAAAATTATCAATGTGTGTGAGATTATTGGCCGCAAAGTCAAATTAGAATGTTCCCGATCAGTGCTTGGAATACTTTGCAAAAGTGGTGTTGGATGCGACTCCTACAAAAGACAACTTGCCTACAAGTTATTATGATGCAAAGAGGTTGGTGTCGGAGTTGGGTTTAGAAGTATGAAAGATTGATTGTTGCATAAATGGATGCATGTTGTTTTATGACAATGAGTTTGGTATTAATGATGAAGCGCTAGAGGAATGTAAGTTCTGTAAGAGTCCGAGATATCAAGTTCGTAGTAAAGCCATTAACCGTAAACAAAAACGTGTAGCAGTGAAGTCCATGTTTTATTTGCCGATAATACCAAGGTTAAAAAGATTGTTTGCTTCAATGCACAATGCAAGTCAAATGACATGGCATCATACAAACAAAACAAGTCCAGGTATTATGCAGCATCCATCTAATGGTGAGGCATGAAAATATTTTGATAGGGTACATTCTGATTTTGCTGCAGAACCTAGAAATGTCAGGCTCGGACTATGCTCTGATGGTTTTACTCCATATGTCCAAGCATCCGCAATTGCATATTCCTGTTGGCCAGTTATCGTAACCCCTTACAACCTCCCTCCAGAGATGTGCATGACAAAACCATACATGTTTTTGAATTGCCTTATTCCAAGATCGTCAAGTCCTAAAGCCGGAATCGATGTTTATTTACAACCTTTAATAGATGATTTGAAGAGGTTGTGAATTGGAGAATGGACTTATGATATATCTCGCAAACAAAACTTTACTTTGCGAGCTGCCTTGATGTGGACTATTAATGACTTTTCCGCTTATGGAATGTTATTTGGTTGGGGTACGTATGGAAAAATGGGATGTCCACATTGCATGGAATTTACAAAGGCTTTTACTTTGGAATTTGGAGGGAAAAGTTTATGGTTCGACTGTCACCGCAGATTCCTACCACGAGACGATGTCTTTAGAAGAAACAAGACTAATTTCAAAAAAGATGTACGAGTAAAATATTTTCCTCCTCCTCGATTGTCACCAGAGGAAATATAGAATCGAGTTTCTGAACTGCCAAAATTCACAGATTATGGTGAAGCATGCAAAATTCAAGGATATGAGATCAAACACAATTGGACAAAAAGAAGTATATTTTGGGACCTCCCATATTGGAAAGATAATTTATTGCGACATAATCTTGATGTTATGCATATTAAAAAGAATTTCTTCGATAATATATTTAACACAATGATGGATGTTCAAGGCAAAACAAAAGATAATAAGAAGGCTAAAAGGGACATGGGAATTTTGTGTGATAGAAAAGACTTGGAGTTGAAGCCTCGGCCTAATGGAAAATTATTAAAACCTAAGGCTTGTTACAGTCTAACTTCCCAAGATGCTAAAGCGGTTTCTCGATGGTTAAATGCATTGAGAATGCCCGATGGTTATGCTTCAAATTTAACAAGGTATGCTGACATCAAAATTGGGAAGTTGCATGGAATGAAAAGTCATGATTTCCATGTTTTCATGGAACGATTGCTTCTAATTGCGTTCAGTTCACTACCCAACCATGTTTTATATCCGCTAATTGAAATAAGTCAATTTTTTAGATATATTTGTGCGTCAACTTTAAGAGTCGATAGCATCATTAAGTTGGACCAAAATATTCCAGTTATTCTATGCAAGTTGGAACGAGTTTTTCCACCTGGTTTTTTTGACTCTATGGAGCATCTACCTGTGCATCTTG